GTTGACACGAGGAAGTTTTTTAATCCATTATAATAACTGTAACAATTTTTATAAGTAAATTCCTCATAAGTCCGGGGGAGTGAAAAAAATATTTTTCTTTACTCTGGAAAAAATCAGGATAAAGTAAAATAGATTTATATTCATAAGTATCATGTGATAAATACAGGTTTAAGCCCAATTTAATAATAAAGTTGATATACACTCCCCTCCAAAAAAATATCCGACCACCCCGTCGATCCTCATGTAGGTGCAGTTACATACAAATAGTTTGAAAATAAAAAAAATTTTATTGTCTATAATTTCAAAATGATCGGAAAATGATCGGCAAGTGGTCAGATATTTTTTTTGGGAGTGAGCGTGCGTCAGTAAAAAAAAGGAGAAATCTTATTCGTGCTAATTTTAGCACATGACTGTGATCAATCTAGATTTCCCCCTATGGTGGTTGTTTATAATTGTCCCGGTTTGTAATTAAATCATGTTAAGAGGAATAGTAAAAGTAAACCATATGATCCGAACATGATTTTAATCCTATTTCGTTAATAGATCACTTACTTGTTTTACAAATTCTTGACTCATATTTTGTGAATTATCTAACCGCTTTAATATAACTTTAATTGGTCCGTTACGGTTCCAAATTTCAGCCTCTTCGTCCAATTTCCATTTTGGACCTTCCATCCATAATGCGGAATAAATTGTGCTGAAGGCACCTCGTTTGTTAATATTTTCGACGAAAACAAATTGGTCGAAATCAATCCATTCTAAATAGTCCAAATTTTCTTCGGCGTTTAGTTTTGTATGTCTAATAAATTCATCTACTGTCGGATCTCCGTTAGTCCAACAACGGAAATGTTCTCTCAACCTTGCTAGATCGCAATTTTTACACCAAGCGACGGATTTCGTTTGTTTCCCGCATTCTAAGCATTTGCTATGTGATAAAGTCTGACTGGTTGAATTGGCAGAAAACCCGAACAACGGGTCTAGAGAAGACTCTGAATCCAGTTTAAAAAATTCTTATCGTTTTTTTTTATTTTTTATTTTTATTTTTTTTTTTTTCCTTAGAATAAACCAGATATCATATTTATTAAACGTTTCTCCCCTCTTTATATAAAATTATTTTGTGCGGTGCGACGTTCATGTGATAGTCGTACAATAATCGATGTTATTGTCAAATGTCAAAATAAAAAATAGTAATAGATTTATTTCTTAATAATAAAAGTAAAAAAAAAAAAAAAATGTAACACCAAATGGCAAATGGATCAATCTAAATTTTATGCCGATTAATTAAAGTGTTATCACGAGCAAACTTGAATAAATTTAGGACAGTCAACGACCAAAATTATGCGGACATTTTTAAAATCAAAAAAAATTATATACGCATAATATAATAAAAATAAAATTTTAACAAAATAAATTCATTTGCGGCAATTCGCCGTGGCATGCTATCGATCAGTTTTTTGAATATTCCGGAGGAAATACTTTAATACTAGATGGTGGTGAAGTTGGTGTTAAAAAACCGGTTTCGCGAAGACGTTTAAGAATAATATAAGCATGCACCTTAGCTATTTAGCTATTGTATAACCTGACTGTCCACATTTATAACCAAAACTAATAGCACCACGAGTTTTGGGAGTAAGTACTTTCATATTTGACATGAACTGAAAAGGTTTGGGGTATTGTTTATCATACGTATGGTTCTTAATTATGTAATCACATAACGATCGTCAAAATGTCCGCATAATTTTGGTCGTTGACTGTACAGTATACAAGATCTTAATATTAGATTTCCTAGCAATCTTCCCAAATAAAGTAGTATTGTGAATAAACGTGAATTTATTTTAAATTTTC